TAATAATAATAATAATAATAATAATAATAATAATAATAATAATAATAGTAATAGTAATAATAATAAATAATAATAAATAATAATAATAATCGCTGCATCAGCGTAGTGACGTCGACAGGCTATATTTGCCCAGAAAAGCAGGCGGCAGAGGACTTTTGCAAGTGAAGCAGACAGTTGAAGAAGAGAAGCACGCTCTGGCAGATTATGTGAAAGACAGTGTTGAACCAGCTTTGATGGAGGTCAACAAGAGGAAGCTGTTCAAAGTGCAGCAAACCAAGAATCAATATAGGAAAACAGTGATGCAAACTCGGGCTGACAGCTGGTGTAACAAAGCACTGCATGGACAGTTCCTTGAAAAGAGCCAAGGAAAAGTAGATAAGGAAAAGACCTGGTTATGGCTGACCAACACTGAAGAAAGAGACAGAAGGCCTCGAACTTGTGTCGCAATTACCATCTAGCCTGTAGCAAAGAACTGGTGGGATCATAAGCCTGAGAAAGTGGTCGAAAATGAGCATGCAAAACTACCGTGGGACTTCCGAATACAGACTGACAAAGTTTTGGAACACAATACCCTGGATATCACGATTGTGGAGAAGAAAAAAGTGTGGATCGTCGACATTGCCATACCTGGTGACAGCAGAATCGACAACAACTTGAAAAAGTCACCAGATATCAGGACTTGAGAATCGAACTGCAGAGACTCTGGCATAAACCAGTGCAGGTGGTTCCAGTGGTACTCAGCACACTGGGTGCTGTGCCTAAAGACCTAGGCAAGCACTTAAAAACAATTGGCGCTGACATGATCACTATTGGTCAGCTGCAGAAGGCCACCTTACAGGGATCTACTCGCATAATCCGCCGATACATCACGCAGTCCTAAACGCTTGGGAAGTGCTTGACTAGTGATTTGTGATACGAAACCCAGCATAGTTATCTCGTTTGCTGTGTACACTGTCATTTTTTGTGTATAATAATATGACTATTATAATAATAATGATTGAAGCCATTAGAACGAATGCAATCAAAGCCGGAATAGAAAAATCTGCTGATGACCCCAAATGCAGACTCTGCAGAGGAGCGAATGAAACCATCGATCACATCCTGAGCTGTTGCAAGACAATCACTCAAGACTGACTACAAACATCACAACACAGTCGCTCATATGTTCCATTGGAATTTGTGTCGCAATTACCATCTTGCCTGTAGCAAAGAACTGGTGGGATCATAAGCCTGAAAAAAGGGGTCGAAAATGAGCATGCAAAACTACTGTGGGACTTCCTAATACAGACTGACAAAGTTTTGGAATACAATACCCCGGATATCATGATTGTAGAGAAGAAAAAGGGTGGATCGTCAATATTGTCATACCTGGTGACAGCAGAATCAACGAGAAACAACTTGAAAAAAAAATCACCAGATATCAAGACTTGAGAATCGAACTGCAGAGACTCTGGCATAAACCAGTGCAGGTGGTTCCAGTGGTAATCAGCACACTGGGTGCTGTGCCTAAAGACCTAGGCAAGCACTTAAAAACAATTGGCGCTGACAAGATCACCATTGGTCAGCTGCAGAAGGCCACCTTACTGGGATCTGCTCACATAATCCGCCGATACATCACGCAGTCCTAAACGCTTGGGAAGTGTTTGACTAGTGATTTGTGATATGAAGCCCAGCATAGTTATCTCGATTGCTGTGTACACTGTCGTTCTTTGTGTCAAATAATAATAATAGACACTCACAGATAAAATAGAAGCATATCATTCCTGCTAGAAGGGTCTTATAGAGATAGTCCTTGTCTTACAACAGTTCATTTAGTGACTGTTGGAACTTCCCAGAATGATATCATTTATTTATTAAATTTATTTGCCGCCTAATCTCATTTCAAAGTGACTTCAAAGATATGACTGGATGGTTTATTAAAAACAAAAATCTGGTCTGCTCTCACAAAACCCTTCTAGCATACAGGTAGGCCTTGACTTGTAACATTTTAGTGACCATTCAAAGTTACAACGGCACCAAAAAACCTGACTTCTGATGGTTTTTCACACTTACGGCCATTGCGGCATCTCCGTGGTCACATGAAATTCAAAACCTTGGCAATTGACTCCTATTTATGATGGCTGCAGTTTGGCAATTGACTCCTATTTATGATGTCATAAATAGGAGCCAATTCCCAAGCATCTGAGTTTCCTCTGATTCCCCCTTTGCCACTTTCTACGCAAGCAAAGTCAGATTCGCTTATCAAACCCTGTTATTAACCTGGAAATTGCAGTGATTCCCTTAACAACTGTGGCAAGGAAGGTCGTAAAATGGGGCAATACCCACATAACATCTTTCTCGCTCAGTGACATAACTTTTGGGCTCCATTGCGGCCGTAAGTCAAGGATTACCTGCGCCTTTCTCCCGAACACCCACCTGTGTTCCTGTAAAGCTGTAGAAATATTAATATTGGATACCACATCTCCCGAGACAAGGATAAAGTCGGAACGAACAAGAGACTTGGCATCCACATCGCGCAACACGTCACCGAGGGAACGATAGAGGTCTGAGATGACAAACCGCACGACGTTGGGAGATGTCGGGCAGCACCACTTAGAGTTTCTGGGGAGGAAAAAAGAAAAATCAGAGACAGAAACAATGGAATGAGAACCTCTGCAACAGGAAATGCACTGAAAAATGATTTGTTGGCTTTTTTGATCAGATGAGTATATAAATACAGCCAGTCCTCGACTTACAATAGTTTGTTTAGTTCAAAATTACAACTGCACTGAAAAATGTGACTTATGGCTGTTTTTCATAGTTACAAGCTTTGCAGCATCCCCATGGCCATGTGATCAGACGCTTGACAATTGGTTCATATTTATTTATTCTTTATTTATTTATGATGGTTGCAGGGTCCCGGAGTCATGCAATCCCCTTTCAAGACCTTCTGACAAGCGAACCGCCAGGATTCCGGCAGTTGCCCAAATTAAATTATGAGCCTCAAGACCAAGCTTCAAAAACTTCAAAGGATTTGTTAGGAGCGAACATGTCAGTGTGCCCTGTATGAAGCCGATTCTGAGACATGTAATTCATTGTCACCCTTAACCAGAGGTAGTATTCAGCAGGTTCTGACCAGTTCTGGAGAACCGATAGCGGAAATTTTGAGTAGTTGGGAGAACCGGCAAATACCACCTCTGAAATACTACTACTATTATCTTCTCACCGTTCCTATCACCCATCTCCTCCCACTTGTGACTGTATGACTGTAACTTTGTCGCTTGTATCCTTACAATTTATATTGACTGTTTCCTAGTATGATTTGATTGCTTATTGTACCCTATGACTATTATTAAGTGTTGCACCTGATGATTCTTGACTCTTGACGAATGTCTCTTTTCTTTTATGTACACTGAGAACATTTGCACCAAGACAAATTCCTTGTGTGTCCAATCACACTTGGCCAATAAAAGAATTCTATACAAAGTCTATGGAGATTCTCAGTCATCCCAGCTCATGCTTGTCCCAAAGGTGCTTTCTTCAAAAGGCAACTGGATTCTTTCTGGTTTTTCTTTGAAGACGTTTCGCTTCTCACCCAAGAAGCTTCTTCAGCTCTGTATGTCTTCAAAGAAAAACCAGAAAGTCCAGTTGCCTCTTGAAAAAAAGCACCTTTGGGATGAAATACAAAGGTGCTTTTGATTAATATTGCTTCCAGCCAAGAAGCTCCCTATGCAAGTTCCTTTAAAACAGAAAGAGCTTCACAGCATCATCCACTAGATCAGGGGTCCCCAAAGTTGGCAACTTTAAGACTTATGGACTTCAACTCCCAGAATTCTTCAGCCAGTCTTAAAGTTGCTGGCTGAGGAATTCTGGGAGTTGAAGTCCACAAATCTTAAAGTTGCCAAGTTTGGAGACCTCTGCACTAGATTCAGTTATTTCTCCTTGTCAATGGATATGTTTCTTGCCCACTTGCAGGAAGCAAGGATTGGTTCCGTATGACTTTTACGCTCAATGCCAATTCGCTTCCCATCCCATTGCCAGACCATATACTGGTTTCTATCTGTCATGCCCCTGTTGGAATCTGATTCTGAGGGAGAGGTGGAACAGCTGACAGGAAGTGAGAGTGGGGCACCGGTGGCTGTGGAGGAAATTGGAGAAGGATGCAGTCGAGCTGGGCATTCAGAGGAAGATCCAGGCCCACCCCACTCTTCATCCTAGGGCACACAGGGAGGAATGGAAAAGGGAGCAACGTGTCTTACAGGAGAGGAAAGGGCCCTGATCCCCTTCATGGGCTGCAGCTGGGAAGACTGTTTAAAAGGGCAAACTGCACATGGCAAAGTTGCTGGATTATTTTGGTTTGTCAAGTCTTAGAGTTCTGGTGTCCTCCCAACTGTGTGTGTTTCGTTATCTTTTGAAGTCTACAATTCCTTATCCTGCCCTGTCTCGTTAATTGCTGCAGCGTGGTTTGTGTTGGTTTTTATTTATAATTTACATGTACTTTGGGCTCAGATGGAATTTCTTCCCTTTAAAAACTATTCTTTGGAGTGTTTTTTCTCCAGCCGATGATAATTGGACATTGTGGGCCAAGTTGGAGATATTAAAGGGACTTTACCTATTTTTGTGACTTCGTTGCTTTTGTGCTGCGCCCTGGGTCATCACACTATCTCTAATCAGGACACCTTGCCTGGGGTTGATTTCAGGACTCAGAAATCCCAGGTCAGCACAGCCATTGCTGAGAATTGAAGTCCAAACATTTGGAAGGCACCAAAACCCAGACACAGCTGCGCTCGATGTCAGCACAATGGACAAATTCAACTTCTAGCTTTTAGAGCAAGTTTGGGTAACTAAATCACTATTCTGAACTACATAAAACCATCTGGATGACCTTGGGCCAGTTCCTCCCTCTCAGCCTAAACTACCTCACAGGGTTGTGGTGGTGGTGGTGGGGAACATAGGAGAAAGGAGTAGTAGGTATGTTCATCGCCTTGAGTTATTTGTAGAAATAATAAACATGAGGTATAAATAAATAAGTAACCTCAAGTTCCCAAAGTCTCATTTTAACAGACTGGGCTATATTTAAAGAATGATATCAAAGATGGCAAGTTGATACAGGTAGTCTTTGAGTTACAACCAAAATTGAGCTCAAAAGTTTATGTTGCCATTTGTTAAACAAGTTGTCCCATTTTATCACTGTTCTTGCCACATTTCTAAAGTGAATCACTGCAGTTGTTCAATTAGTAGCACTGTTGTTAAGTGAATGGTTTCCCCATTGACTTTGCTTGTCAGAAGGTCAAAAAAGGTGATCACAGGACCCCTGGGGATATTGCAACCATCATAAAGGTGAATCAGTTGTCAAATATCTGAATGTAAATCACGTGACCAATGAGATGCCACAATGGTCACGAGTGTGAAAAATGGTCTTAAGTCACTTTTTTCAGTGCTGTTGTAACTTCAAATGATCACTAAGTGAAGTCTATAGAATAAAATGTTGGAATGAGGAGTAGAGTAGAGTAGAGTAGAGTAGAGTAGAAGAGAAGAGAATTCTTTATTGGCCAAGTGTGATTGGACACACAAGGAATTTGGTGCAAATGCTCTCAGCGTATATAAAAGAAAAGATACATTTGTCAAGAGACAAGCATTATAAGGTACAACACTTAATAATAGTCATAGGGTTCAATAAGCAATCAAATCATACTAGGAAACAGTCAATATAAATCGTAAGGATACAAGTGACAACTACAAATATTCTTTTTATTGGTGTCACTTGGTTACATCTACCTGACAACCGCCATCTATCTGTCCTCGGCCACCTCCAATCCTGATAGATGAAAGATAAAGGGAAAAGGCTCCTTACTGTAAATGCTCCTTGATCTCTGCCGATTTCCAGCAGCAAAAGACGAAAGTTTCTTCCACCCCAGTCGCAGTGAGGAATTCCAGGGTATATTCTATCATGGCCACGTTGGCCAGAGGAATCAGAGCCTAGGGAAGCAAAGGAAAGTCAGCCAGAAAAACAAGCACACTATAATCTGCAGTTCTGCTTACAGTTAAGAGTCGCACCATCCTTCTTGCACGATAACAAGCAGATACAGTATTCATTAAACATGGGTGGCCTTTTTAAAACTAGCAACCTTGGGGGGGAAAGTATTAGAAACCTGGGAACTGCCTTAAACCAGAGAGAGAGAACTGGGGCCTTCCAGATGTTTAGGAAGTCCCTTTGCTGCTGGCAATGCTCTTGGGGCCGATGTTGAAATCCCAAGCACTTGAAGGATACCATGATGAGTAGGCCTACTTTGTAGAGGTCGTCCTCGACGTACGACCACAATTGAGCCCAAAACTTCTGTTGCTAAGTGAGACAGTTGTTTAAGTGAGTTTTGGCCCATTTTATGACCTTTCTTGTCACTGTTATTAAGCAAATCACTGCACTTGTTAACTTAGTAGGACAGTTGTTAAATGAATCTGGCTTCCCCACTGACTTTGCTAATTGTCAGAAGGTACCTTCCAACCCTCTGATTCTATGATCCTAAGGGAAGGGAAGGGAAGGGAAGGGAAGGGAAGGGAAGGGAAGGGAAGGGAAGGGAAGGGAGAATTGAATGGAATTGAATTCTTTATTGGTCAAGTGTAATTGGACACACAAGGAATTTGATGATAGTAGTATTCCAGTATTTGAGGCAGTGCCCCAAAGAAGTGGGGGGTGTCAACCTATTCTTAAAGCGCCTGAATGCAGAACAAGAAATAATGGATGGAAACTAATCAAGGGGAGAAGCAACCTAGAATTAAAGAGAAACTTCCTAACAGTGAAAACAATTAGCATGGAACAGGTTGCCTCCAGAAGTTGTGGGTGCTTTATCACTGGTGTTTTTTAAGAAAAGACTGGACAACCATTTGTCTGGAATTACATATGGTCTCTTGGACTAGAAGACCTCCAAGGTCCCTTCCAACTCTATTCTGATTGATTGATTGATTGATTGATTGATTAAGAGGGAAGGAAAACCATCCTTGTTTAGCTCTTTGATGGGAGACCACCATGGAATTTCTAAAAACGCATTCCAGAAGAAGACATGTGTGTAAGTGAATTCAACTGCCAACAAAACTAAGATGGATGCCATGAAATCACTAGGAGTTGAGGAAGGAAGTGTTCTTACCTAGGCTTCCCCAAAAAGCACTAAGCCAACTCTTTGTCCCGGCAAAACCCCTTTTATTAAACAACAAAGGTGAATTTCTTGCATTCACCTTCAGCCAAAGGTCTGGCAAACAGTCTTTCAAGGGTGTAATTAGGAGCACAGACCTTATCTAGCTTGGAAAGCTACCCAGTAAATATTTCCAAATGCAGTGCTGACAAGGAAGGACACAGCACAGAGTCTCTAGGATGCACAGACAGATCTTCACAATGATGGAACAAATGAATGAATTGTTTCCTGCAAAAGCCCCCTCCCCTTTTAATCCCTATGGGAAGGGCCATTCACCATCCACCTGTGGCCTTACTCCCACGTCGACCCTTAGTTTGTAATTGTTCTTTTCTTTTGGCAGCTCTGTGCATGCGCAGGCTGAGAACAGGCTCCAGCTGCTCCCCCGCCTCACTGCTGTCCGACTCCAAAGGCAGCTGACGACTGCCAACCTGCCCTGGCCCCATCTCTGCCTCTGACGCAGAGCCCTCTTCCGAGCCTTCCTCAGCCTCCAGGACTGGTCCTTGTTCCTCCCCTCACTGTCTGACTCTGCTGCCACCTCCGTTAGCCGCCCGGTGGGCCACAAAAGGAAGGGAGGAAGGGAGGGAGGGAGGAAAACTAGACAGCCACCTGACTGAAAATGATATAGGGTCTCCTGCTTGAGCTGGGGATGAACTAGAAGATCTCCAAGATCCCTTCCAACCCTATGATTCTGATTCTGAGATAGATAAATAAATAAGACATTAAAAAAACTGAAGCTACAAGTACAGATTAGGTGAAACCTGGCTCAAAAACAGTACCTCTGAGAGGGACCTTGGAGTCCCAGTGGACAATCACTTAAACATGAGCCAGCCGTGTGCGGCAACAGCCAAAAAAGCTAATACAATCCTTGGTTGTATAAACAGAGGCATAGAATCAAAATCATGTGAAGTATTTAGTGCCGCTTTACACAGCCTTAGTAAGGCCACACCTGGAATACTGCATTCAGTTTTGGTCAGCACGTTACAAAAAAAGATGTTGAGACTTTGGAAAAAGGGCGGAGAAGAGCAGCTAAGATGATTAAAGGCCTGGGGACTATTAAAACATATGAACGGGTTGCAGGAACTGGGTTTGGCTAGTCTGGAGAAAAGAAAGATTAGGAGGATATGATAGCAATATTCCAGCATTTGAGGGGCTGCAGCAAAGAAGAGGATGTCAACTTAGTATTCCCCAAAGCATCTGAAGGCAGGACAAGAATCAACAGATGGAAACTAATCAAGGAGAGAAGCAACCTGGAATTAAAGAGAAACTTCCTAAAAGTGAAAACAATTAACCAGTGGAACAGCTTGCCTCTAGAAGTTGTGGGTGCTTCATCACTGGAGGCTTTTAAGAAGACACTGGACAGCCACTTGTCTGAGATAGTTTAGGGTCTCCTGCTTGAGCAGGGGGCTGGACTAGAGGACCTCCAAGGACCCTTCCAGCTCTATTCTGATTACTGGTTTATTACTGCCAATCTCTCTCCTGTCTAGAGAACTGCATTCTGGCAACAAGACTGTTGCAGGATTAGAGAGACTCAAGCTGAAGTTTAAAGTTTTTGTTCCAGTCCTCCCTTGCTACTTTTCTGGATCCTGATCTGGACTGGCCACTCAAAAGCCAAAGGAAGTGAAGGAAAAAGAAAGCTCCCAGCTCTGACTGAGGCCAAGTTCCAACTTGGCAAGACACACTCATAACAAACATGAGCTGTCATAAATCCGTTTTTCACAATTTGGTGCAGTAACGCTTCCCTGATGCAACATTCAGTTTCTCTGACTGTAATTTTGTGATAAGAATCATGCAACAATGCTTCCCCAGGATGTATCCTAGAGCAACTCTTGGAATTATGAGTCCATCCAAATGAATAAATAAACTGAATGAAAAACTGCTGGTGATCTTCTACCGCTGCACCAGAGGGTATTTTAACTTATTGCATCTCACTATGGTTTGCCAATTGCACAGGGGCAGATAGGACAACACTCCAGAGGGTTAACATCATTGCCCAGAAGATCACGGGTTGCCCTCTTCCCCTCTTTGGAAGAGCTTTATAGCTCCCACTGCCTCAAGAAAGTTCAAAACATCCTCAAAGATCCATCTCATCCTGGACACCTCCTTTTTTTTTTTTTTTTACTATTACCATCTGGCAGACAGTACGGAATATTAAAAACAAGGACAAATAGGCTGAAAAACAGCTTCTATCCCAGGGCAGTAGCTCTTTTGAATTCTACTGTATAGTGCAGTGTTGGTGCGGTGTCAGGGGTTTTCGGTTCAATGTGTGGAGGGTGAAGGATGTGTGTTTGTGTTTATTGTCATGGTCATGATGTGCATTGAAGATGGTGTTTGATTTCGTTATACAAGGTGCAATGACAATAAAGTAAAAGTAAAAGTAAAAGTAAAAGTAAAGTAGAGGATCATCCTCACTCTGAACAGGTGTCGCCGTCCTCACAATCCAAGAAACCACAGCCTCAACTATCCGGCCATAAAAGATTCTAGGCTAGACAGACTGGTAATGACAATCCAAGAGAGCTTGGCTCCTGGTGAGTCCTTGGAGACATATATGTACTTGTTTTGGCAACAAGACAAGAGGAGCTGGCCATTGCCAACACAGACACTTGTTTTCGGCATTCCAGTCTGGGCTACAGCCCTGGAATTCTCCTCCTGAGCCTTCACAAGTGAGCCGAGCCCTACTCCGCTTCCAAGGCTGGCCAGGGTGTTGCCGCCTGCTGAGACACAGCTTCTTATAAGCGGATCCTTTTCTTTGCAGTGACAAAGCAATAAATTTCCACATTCTCCTTGTGATGAATATAATAACAGCTGCCACAACACTGTCGTTTAAAGATGCTTTGCTGATTGCGTGGAGAATGACTGTATTTTTCGGAGTATGAGATGCACCCCCGCCCCCGAAATAAAACAGTGGGTGGAAATTGTCTGTCCATCTTATACAGCGAATATTGCAGCGGGGGGGGGGGGGGAATTCGTGTGGCACCAATCAGCTGTTCTCGAATGGGTGGCGGCAGTGAACAGGCGGCGGAGGCAAACAGGCCGTGGCGAACAGGCAAGGTAAATACTGGATGGATGGTGGGAGGCAGATTTCTTTTTTATTAATATAAAGAGCAACATGTTCAAAATCCATACAGACAGTGTGTAATGACCCGGGGCATGGCACAAAGGCAACACAGTCACATAAGTAAGGAAAGTCCCTTTAATACCTTCAACTTTGCCCCCAGTGTCCAGTTACCTTCGGCTGGAGAAAAAACTCCCCAAAACAGTCTTAAAGTGGAGGAAATTCAGTCGGAAAACAAAGTACATATAGACTGTAAATAAAAATCCACACAAACGACGCTGCTGCAATTAACTGGACAGGGCAGGAGAAGGAATTGCAGACTTCAAAGGCCAACAAAACACACACAGTTGGGAAAACACCAGGACCCCAGATAAGCCTTGACAATAAAAGATAACTCACGATTCGCTTCCCACGAGTTGCTGTGCGCAATCTCCCTTTTTCAATACTGTGTTCCCAGCTGCAGCTAATGAAGGAAATCAGGGCCCTTTCCTCCCCCATAAGCCACGCAACTCACGTTGCTCCCTTCTCCGTTCCTCCCTGTGTGCCCTAGAATGAAGGAGTGTGCCTGGATGTTCCTCTGAATTCCTTCTGCCTTGCTCTATCTCTCCTTTGCTCTGCCCAGCCGGACTTTGCCCTTCCCCAGTTTCTTCCACAGCCAACAGAGCCACACCCCCACTCCCTATCAACTGCTTGGCCTCCCCCTCGGAATAAGATTCCGAAGGGCATGACACTGTGTTTTG